TTTCAATCTTCTGTATAGTAAATGCTCTGGAAAATCAAACCAGAACAGTGTTTTCATTGCATGGTGTTCCCACTACGATCGCCTTAATAAACAACAGCACATTTCTTCTACTTCACAACAAACAATCACGTTTACCTGAGAAAAGTTTCTCCAAATATCCGTTCTGCAATAAATAGTTCAGGAAATGAAAACGTGCACTGAAGACTGAAATGTTTATTTTGATGAGCAATAAATCGCACGCGCACACATTGCCAGGATTGTGTGAAAACTGTTATATAAGACTACCACGCTCACTACGATGCATGTGGTTGTGGTTGTGACCACCTTTACTCCAAAATATACCGTTTTTCAACCAAATTTTAAGTTGTTTTTTTTAGCTTACTATTGGTTCAACCTGCACTTTCAGCGCCCCTTCTCCTCAATATTCAAGGCCCTGGATTTGATTCCTGGAATAGTTATATCCTTTCTATACTGTGGCGGGTTTAGGGGGTGCAAATGAACCCCCCCCCCTACTGGCTGGTACCTTGAATTTTTTATATTAAAAAATAAAAAAAAAGTATGGTAGGTCCGCTTTTTGAAAATTAGCACCTTCGCCCACAATAATAGGGCCTGGACTGGTTGATAGGTTATCCTTATCAGGAGCGCCCCTAGGCCAGTGATGTGCCTCATGGGAAAAATGATGATGCAAGAGAACGTTGTTGTGCTGAGATCTGCAAAAATGAACCCCCCCTCTTAAAGTCCTGGATCCGCCACTGCCATTAATATAGTTTTCGTCAGTATACCTCGAAATTAGGGTCAAAAAGCATGCAAATACAGGCTTGGCAATTATTCAGTTATGAAAACGAACGTTATTGACATCTCTACTTCATACCTCCATTTCCGTTTTGGTTCCAAAGACAATAGATGTTCCGTCTATTAGAATAATCCTAAATTTGAGTCCATCGTGTTTTGTCATTATCAAGCGCATTATAGCATACACTCATTAGCCGTTATGCTATTTTGCTACAACGTGATAAAGAGACTCAATCAGGGTCGCAACAGCTGTCCACGGTGGTATTTTCATTTTCAGTTTGGATTCTATCATTTTCAAGCTAGTATCGGCCTTACCATAGTTGATATTAACTATGGCCTTGCTTATTATTTATGTCCCTGACCCTGCCCTAGCTTTTAGATAGGTGTTATTGTTCTATTGTTAGGTTTAATTGCTGTTAATCCTAATTTGTTATGAAACGCATTTTTTTCGGCTATTTAGTGAGCGATCATAATTTATCGCTTTGGGGCAGGCACTCCCCTCCCTCTCCCCCCTCGTGGCATCAAATGTAATGCGATTTCTTAATTTTTTCTCTTCTTTTCTATTTTTGTTTTGGAGTTTTTTCCCAAACGAAATGGCAGTTTTTTGGATCTTGATCTCCCCACCCTTCGGAAAATCCTGGCTACGCCCCTGAGGTTTAATTAAAAATGCACGCAATTCTTCCTCGGGACCTCCGGTTGGCTATCATTTTTGTCTCGATAAGTACCTTGAACAGTGTGTCTCAGTGATGTGTATATACATCTCCTCGGCTCGGGCGTAATGTTTTACCATTTCATACCACATGTCATTCCCTTGAGAATRAGATTCTTTGTCTGAGTTGTATCGGCCATATTCGTGCTTCTTCCATCGAGCGCAGACGGTAAACAAAGAAATAATGCTCTAGATAACGACACGTGGTCTGGAATGGAAAAACATTACGCCCGAGCCGAGGAGGTTCATTGATCATGGTTTGATTCCGTATCGAGACCCATCCACCTAAACCAAATACGACGTTCTGATACGATGTAGAASTTTTGAATCATTTAGCTTGCGAAAAGTCTCACAAAAATATACTCAATTTTTTTTGTATACTCTGAGAAAGCGAACCTTTTTTTCTCACCAAAATTTTTCTAAATTCTTAGAAAACGTGCTGAAAGGCCCGCATTCGCTAATGTTTTTCTCCGAGTCTCTATATGCCGCATCGAATAAGGGGAAGTTGCGCGCGCTAGAATTGGAAACCTGGCTTTTTCATATTCAACCTCTAGAATAATTAACAAGTTTTTTAATGAGTTATTTGGTGAAATTAGCTTAGTGTGGTGATAGAAATATGCATGGAAAAAGGAAAAACGGTTTTAACGTTCCTCGCATCGCGGGTTTTCAAAGGATCTTTTTTAATTCTTAATTTCAAAGATTGTATTTTTCATTCCTTTTTTCATGCCCTGTGAATCATTCATTCTTTTGCGGTTGTTTTACAGACGCCTATCGCCGTTTTCCTATTTTCTGTCAACGCTCGTTGTTTTCTTCCTTCATTCTAGTTAGGCTGCGTTCATAATGTATGGCAGAGAGGGGGGGCAGGTGAAAATTTGAAATGTCCAGAATAATTCTTTACACCCCCCCTTAAAGTCATGCAAAAACAATACGATCCCCCCCAAGCAAGGTTCGTAGCTTCCTCCAACTGTGCATCCCCCCATTTTTCTGATAAAAATTTTCCCGATCCCCCCTCAATTTCACCTGCCCCCTGCCACATAATATTAACGCAGCCTTGACCTAGCAGAATTTCATATACAGTTATATGCAATCATTCCCCAGGACGTTTTTGTAGACGTATGGTTTTTTACCACTTACATAACATCGATCCCGACTGCAAAACAAATCTTTCTATTTAAAAATATAAATATTTAGAAGTTGAAGGAAAACCCAAATGGAATGAAACTAGTGAGGAAATTAAAATCTCTTTATTGGTTGGTGCTTTTGTTCGTGCGTTATAAACAGAGCTCCAGAAGTGCTTAAGATACACGTCATCGTCTACGTCATTTTCCACCTGCGATCGACAAGGATTGAGTAAACCGACAAAAAAAAAAAACGAAAAAAAACAGAAATTAAAACGCCGAAAACCTAAAACAAATATAAATCTCACTGGAGTTAGAGTTACTATTGAATGATATTTTGAACGGTTTATCGATGACTATCTATATCCTTTTGTGCATCAGCTTAGACTAGTTGTTTTCATACGTGGGAATGAATTCTATCTAAATGGAAAGTATGACTCACAACAACGCTGCTGCATACGTAGTCCGTCATTAAAGTGCGAACTGAGCTAAATAACTGTTTATTCTGCTATAAGGTTTTTGTCTTTTCTTTCCCGCTGTGATGGCTCAATAATAACCTCCGACAATTTTGCATATGATTCATAACAGCTGTTAGGTCATCGTTGTTTGAATTTGTTATTTTTCAATCTATTTTCTGTGCGAAAGTATAGTCAAAAGCAGGTTTAACTACTCACCTTTTCCTACACTTGAATTTGGTTCTTGATTATCTACAAAAACTCTGTTTTATGAAAACAAGGTTTTCTTTTTTTACGGCTATAGCGATTCATGTGTTTTCAGCCCCACCACGAAGGAACATCTCTCTATTGTAAACCAGTCATTATTATATGTTTTCTTTTCCATGGTCATATCATTTTAACCTGGAGTTTTCTCTGCTAGAGCGAACAGATAGCATATCTGCATGAAATACTATTGACTTTCGCTTTAGCAGAACTCTTTCTCTTTCTCTTTCTCTTTCTCTTTCTCTTTCTCTTTCTCTTTCTCTGGATGACAACTGATTTGAGGAAAGCTATGTACGATAGAGATAAAATGAAACAAAAAGCTACTCAAACGAATTCGAGGGACGACTGGAGTGATTATAAGTCTATTAGAAATCGCGTCAACAACGAGATAAAAAGAGCCAAGAAGTCATATTATGAAAATCATTTTGCACAAAATTCANCTCTTTCTCTTTCTCTTTCTCTTTCTCTCTTTCTCTTTCTCTTTCTCTCTTTCTCTTTCTCTTCCCCCTTAAATGTAATTGATTTTTTCCGAAGTTATAAAAATATTTTTTCCTTTTTTGCTTTTCTTTTTCTTTTAGGGAGTTTAGTTCATATTCGAGGTGTCAGCCAGCATGCTGATCGTGCCTCTTTTCATGCTTATTCTTCCGTGGAAAAAAAAAAGATTTATTTTTATAACTCGCTTTCCCCAAGCAGTTGAGTGGGATGTTAATGCATGGGATTCGTATTATTTTCCATTTAGGTCATCCTTACGCGAGTCATGTTTCCAATCGTACGCTCCCATTAGTCCTGCCGTTTCCCCAGCGCGTTGAATATTTTCACGCGAGACCTGATTCATAGGTACTTATAATAACGAGAAAACATGTAGGGTATTAAAGTATAAAGTGCGAAGAGCTAATGGATGGGTAGGAAGGTCTAGGTTCAAAAATAAAGTATTAGCTGTCATTGTTATATAATACACAAGAAGGGCAGTGACAAGAAAGGAGTGAGACCAAAACAACTGGTCAACTGGTTGGCGAAACCTTCTTTAAAGAAGAATACCAACAAAATGTACTAGGCATAGATCACACTATTTATTKTTATTTTTAATTCAGTGGAAGAGGTTATTGTTTAAAATTGGTCCACATCACTGAGTTGGAGATGAAAAATTTGAAAATTGTAGGAGTACTAAATCATGGAAAAATCGGTTGTGCTTTACTTCATCTTAGACTTTACAAGCAATAAAAGGGATCACTTAATTGAAAATAATTCGACCGGCCAGGAAAGTGAGAATGGAAGTAGCTTGTTTAAAACAAAAAACCTAGAAGCATTTTTTTTRAATCAAGCTGGGTTCCTTTGAGATATGATGATATATGATGATAATGGATAAAGCTTACTAAAAGATTCTACGTCTTTCCTTCCTTCCCATTGTCAGTGTTCCCAAAAATTGAATCTCAACTCAAAGTGGATATTGAATGCAATAGGTTTATTGAGGTATAACCGTGTTATGTATTCGTGCATCATGCTGCGAACATTTACAAACTTGGTGTTAAAAAACACACACACACAAACAGCCATATATCCTCGATTGGAAACAGAAAAGAAAAAAAGAAAAAGAAAAAAAAGAAGAAAAAAAAAAAGAAAAAGAAAAAGAAAAATTGAAACTTTATATTTTTGAAGATTAAGTTTCTTTGGTTTTTCTTTACAAAAATCTTATTTTTCCTGTTGCGTCATTCTTTATTATGCGACTAGTATATCTTAAACCCTTCGTTTCCGCTGTTCGGTCGTAAAGAGTCTGAAAACGATTGAATTGAGTCATCGATACAACCTACAAATGCATGCGTTGGCTCATTAYGATTGGCTGCGTCTAATGTTCAAACGATGAGTAAGTCCCGAAGGTGGGTATTTTCCTTTCGAAGAGCTCCAACAATTGTTCTCAGCTTTGAATTCTCATCTTCTAGATAAGCGGCGTGAATTTGTGTCTGTAATTCTCTCATTCGCCTCGCTTCTCTTGACTTCTTAGCTGAAGCGTTGTTTTTTCTTCTTTTCTCTAGGTATTCTTCGAGTTTCATCTTGCTCGGTTTGTTGTCTGTAGGTTGGGATTGATCCATCTTGTTTTCTTCACAGACGGACGAAGTGACTTCCTTGCTATCGCTGTCCATTTTGGCGGACTTCCACTCTCTATTCTCGATTTTCTCCTTATCTTGCACCAGTCTTAAAATTAGTTTTCTTTTGGGGCTTTTGTATTCTTCTTCTTCACTTTCTTCGCGTTTGAGTTGTTCTTCTCTTGGGTGTTTGTCGTCTTGGTTTGCATGGTTCTCTGGTTCTTCTCGGGTCGTTCTCTTACGTTTACGTGGRAAATCTGTCCAACACGGTTGAGACTGGACCATTTGATCTGCTGGGATAAGAGGGGGACAAACTCCGACCTCCAAAGTAGAACGCTGTCTGTCTTGCTCACAACAGAAATGTGTCGCCGGAAGAAGAATCCTTGAGAAATCAAACCAGTGTTCATACCTGTCTTGAAAGTTTCCCTCGATTTGCTCGGGTGGAAAAATGAATTGTGAATTCCTTGAGACTTGCTCCATAGGACTTGAAGGGGACTTTTTAGCACAATGAATGACAGAAACCGGCATTGAGTATCTTGTGAACGATGACATTATGTAGCGCTGTCGTTATACAACTGGGTAAGAGTTGGCCTTGAATCGAATAATACGAAAACAATATACAATCTGCTCATTCAACTCAATGGTCCACAATACTTAAAGTTCCAGATCCAACAGGCCTTTTTAAAACCTAGAACTATACAAGTAGAATCATCCCAGACAATTAGGAACTTTACTACCGGCCACGTGAATCTAGAGCACAGCGTTATGTAAGACCAGCAAGAATAGACTCTCGCCTTCTGTGTTGTATAACAAGTTTGAGGTACTCGTGTCTGGGTAAAGGAACGGGTACGTAAGCTATAGTGAAACCCGGAAGGTTAGACAAGCCTTATGTAAAGCATCTCCTGAGTATTCATACCAACCTTCTCAAAGACTTCATTAATCCAATTGTTTTGTTTATCTGTTTTGAAGGATTGTTTTGCTAGCATAATAGAGGGGGAAAATTGTGTATCAATACGGTTAATTCCAAAATGATCAATTATTCAGTGGAATATATAGAGTTAAAATATGGTTAATTAACCTTTTCTATCTGTAAAAAGACTGAAGTTTTAAAAAAATATCGTGCAAGGTAGTACGTCATACTTATGAATAAAGGGACAACATTAGGGTTCCAAAACACATGGCGTTTAATGCAACAATACCAAACTATGTCAAAATTTTCAAAACGTTATCATCTCAGTTTCAGAAATTCAGCAACTTCATCAAAAATGTGAAGACATGTCTCACGTGGACCTTAAGATTTCTACGTAAGTATCGTCATTTGTCACCTAAGAGTGAATGACCATGTTTAGTGGGCGAACAGGCTGCATCATTAGATAGACCCCTCGAGGCAGTATGAGCAAATTATATAGACCGCTATATATCGATATATACTACTTGTTACGGGGAGCCCTCATTATTTCATCACATCAAAAGATACTTAGTTAAGTTCTATTGATGACTGGTTGGAATGAACTAAGTCTTCTAATGTTTGTAGTCAAAACACACACACACAAAGAAATACTCAAACATGTGAAAATGTGAACGGTAGTTGTTTTCATATTTATTTATTTATTTATTCATTTATTTATTAGTTTTTCAACTGGTTTTAGCGGCGTGGCAGTGGGCTAAAGGGAATAAAAATAATCCAGATTTACGTCTTCCCAAATATTCAGATCGAAAAAACTGAAGTCGCGCTTTTTAGCGTTTGGATAGTGCGATTGGACAGTTTTTTCGGGTTCTTTCCTTTCCTTTCCTTTCCTTTCCTTTCCTTTCCTTTAGTTTTTTAAGCAGCTCTTTTATTTCTCATTTTGCGCCAGTTGTCGTTTTTCATTTTTGGCTACCCTGACTTGCACACATCCAATTCCTCGGATTTCAATTTCAATTTATCCATCCTTCACATTGACGTCTTCTAAGCATAGCATATTAAATTTTGAGATATTCCAAGGTAAATAAATACACGAATAACATAGTATTCAATCAAACGATAGGGAAAGCTGAAGAGTTTTCTTTCTTCTCAGAGGTGCTTTTCTTCGTCGTAATTGAAACAAGAGTCGTTGTGTACATGACGATTTTAATAACTTATTACGGTTCAAAATAATGGCAGCTTTGTCAGAGGACTTTGAACTAGAAGTGAATTCAAATCACTTACTCTATAGCTCTCAGTCCTCCTCTGGTTGAAGCACGACACGGACGTTACTAATCGGCTACTGTAAAGTCGTCCTTAACTTTCAAAACATCTAAAATACCTAATATTAATTTCGCAAGGTAGTCATAATATCTATATTAATTATATCTCTCTTTGTAAAAAAAAATTTTTTTTACGGATAACTCGCCTATAGAGTAAATAGACGCGCTAAATATTACACAGTTTTCATTCTTCCATTTACCCATTCAGTTACTCACGGCTGTGTCATCCCTTTCCCATACACCCACCTATCTCTCTATCCACCTATCTACCTGGACACCCAGCCACCCTTCCGTTAGACCTATAGCTTCTTTTTAGTGTGTTATATATTCACGTGTTCTACTGAGGTTCTTTCAGATATTTAAGCTTCTCTCTCGTTTGAGCTTCCTCATTATTCCTTATAAATGCTCGTTTGGATTTGTGATTAATGTTTACCACACTAAAGTGAAACTTTCGTGGAGTATTACCGTGCAGCGAGTAGTATCCTCTAATTTCCACGTAATGTTAGTTCTTTTAAGGCAACCAATATTGCCGAAAGTGATACTATAGAGGAGCTATGCACACCTATTAAGATATAACAATAGAGACCTTTAGCAAGACGTTCTTGCTAGGTACCGCAAACCTCAAACTGCAGTTCAACGTCAGGTGTTTTTCGTTAAACTTTCGACATTTAGGCTGTGTTCATAATGAATGGCAGAGGAGGGGGCAGGTGAAATTGAAAGGGAATCGGGAAAATTTTGGTAGGAAAGAAGGGGGGGGGGGGG